AGAGAGAGAGAGAGAGAGAGAGAGAGAGAGAGAGAGAGAGAGAGAGAAACACAGGGAGAGAGCATGACTAAGGAGACAAGCAAACCCTGTGAAAATGTTTATCGGAGTAAGCTTGTTGCTGCTGATTGTGGAAAATGTATCTAATATTTCAACGGTCCTTTGTTACTTTTTAAGAGGAGCCCACTCGTGATGTTATTTGAGGAAATCATTAAGCTCTTGAACAGTGATCTGGGAAAAACATAAATGAATGTGTAATGTCTGAAAAGCCGATCACAATAACCCAGATCTTCTTTTTCAACTCCAATACAAGTTAACTGTACATTTTGCCAAACTGAATGTTGACATTCAAAATCACTAACTATATTTTCAGAGATTCCTAAATGAGTAATTCAGCTGAACAACAGACCTGTCAGTAAAAGCGATGGTGGCAAACATACCTGTTTCTGTGTCCTCCCCAGTTACAGCCATACTGTCTCTACTCCCAGCTCCTTCCTTCAGACTCTTCTCTCTGACTGAAATGTCACCACAGCCAACGCTGAGGCTATGTGTGCAATTTACAATTAGAGGCACTGACATCACCATGACATCACTGGCCTCCTGATGTCAATAATGTGGTTTGCCCCCCCCCCCCCGACGCAGCACTATGAGTCAGGGGCTCTGCTGTGTGTCTTTGGGAAGGAATGTTCTCCAGCTCGACCGGAGCGCAACGCTGAAGATTGACGGTCCTTTTCGAGGTGGAGAGGATTTGGAATTCAATCACTAAAAACACGTTTTTTTGTGGTTAGAACTTCAATGTGTGAGCCAGATGAAATATTGTGTATTTTCATTGCTATAATCCCAATGGAATATCTATAAACTATTGTAAAGAAGTGTTTTACTATTAAGCCAGGTTTCTCATATAGCCAAGTTATTAGGTGCATGTATGTGTAGTCGCTGTGTGATTCGTTCCCGACCCAAAGCTAGGAAGGAGCTGGCTCCCTCTGTCGGCTTTACGGAGGTAAATAGAGGACCTACTTTTTTAAAGGACACATGACAACGTCCCATGTTTTGTTTGACAATTTCTCAGCCATTGGAGGAGAAAGTGAAGCATATTTACAGGAAACCCTGAGCGACTGTCCCTGTTTCCTTGTTTGCTACCCATCCTAGTTATTTAGTGGTAGTGGTCTGGAAATTTAGGGGGTTACCTGGAAATGTTCGACCATTCTTCGGTTCATCCATCGCCTTCTTGTTGTACACAAGGGTTCTCGGTGGGGGCTGTGGTGTTTGTGTGCTGGTCGTGGTCATAGAAGCCAGGTTCTGTGCCCCTGCAGGGAGGAAATTGACAAGACCTCCTTGACGAAATCCAACTGGGAAGGTAAAAAAAAAGGTGAGGTTATGCACTTATGGCAGGAGAATCTTCCTGTGAAAAGGCTCGTCTCATGGTGGGGAACACATTGGAGCACTCAGAGGAGACTATACAGGCAGAATGGGAGAGGAGAGACTGCAAGCAGAAGACCAAAGTCAATATTCAAACCCTGGACTCTTGAGCACCACCCTGCAATTGTGTTTTTTAATGTGACACTTCTACAATACACACATAAGTCTGGTTTTCAAGTGTTACCTGGATGTGGGATAATATAGTAGTTCTGCGCCATATTCATCGCCTCCCCATAGCCTCCCCCATAGCCTCCGCCATAGCATTGAGGGGCGCAAGACTGCAGCGGTGGTGGTGGTGGCATGCTGGTCATACACATGGACGGAAGGTCCTGTGTGCTCTCATGCCGGAACTTGACGGGAGGTCCGAGAAAGAACCCAACTGGGAGGGGAAAATGGTTAAAAAAAAAAATCAGGGAATTCAATTTCCCAATCTGTGATTACAGCAACAGTAAAGCATCTACTCTTTTCATACAGTGTGTGATACTTGTCTTAATGTGGCAGTTTATTAGTGTGTAAGATTTAAACAACTTTGTCAAATACACAAGATGTGAAAAAAAAACAATGTCGCAAAAACGGAAGGAGTTACCAACATAATGTGTCATGACAAAGGACTGAAAAAAGTCGAGATGGGTCAATTGTGCTTGCGAGACATGAAGCACTGTCTGTCAACTCCTTATATATATATAGTGGTATGTCTATTACACAACTTGGGACCAGTGATGCTGTCATGATTTTGAGACTGTTCCAGGGCACACACAAATAATGAACTTTAAAATGAAGGCTGGTAACACGTCTGAACACCGAGCAAGCTAAAAACCGAGGTACTTCCCTCGGGAGTTGGAGAAGACCAGAACAGAGCTAAAAGCACTATGAATATCGGATTGACATTTGCAAACACAACTCCGACCCGATGATAATGTCGCTCTGTGTCTGCTGGATGTGAACGTTGACAACGGTTTAATGACACGTTAGCCATAACATCTTTTTAAGCCAGGAGTCGGGTGGTGGCTCTGTATCTGTAAGCTTGTTTTAAGCTATTTTATTTCAAACAAAAGTCACTTTCTATAACGTTTAAATATCAATTTGTCTACCTGTAATAGTAGTAGTACTGTTAAAAGGGTGGAAGATGTTGCTAGTAACGGTGTCACAACAGTGCGTGGAGGAAGTAATAGGACGAACTGTGGTGGGAAATGGAATTTCAGACATGCTTACTGTGGCTGTGGCCGGTCTCCTGGTAAACAGGTTCTCCAGGCTGATACTTGTCTTCGGTTTTCACTTGGTTCATTCTGACTGGCACTGACTGGGGCTGCTGATCACTCTGATCTCACCTTGGGGATCAGAGAGGGTTACAGTTAGGGTTTTCATGTGTACACAAACAGCGGGGATGTAAGGCAATGTTAGGTGCAGCGAGATAATTAAATGAGAGTTGCTCCCCGAGCTATTACTTACTGCTTTGCCACTTAGTCCTCGTCTACCTGGTAGCTCCAAAAAGTTTATACTTTTATTACTTTGCTAGTAATACAATGGCTTGATCGTTTAAAATATAACCAATCAGTGAGGCATGATGCTTTCTCTGCCTTGAATCAATGAGTACAGGCGGAATGGGGGCGGCTAGCTTGCAATCAGCCATCAGAAGCAATTTCTCGGTTACACAAAATTGTATAATGTCCAAATATTCATTTTTGGTTGGCATGGTAACAGAGACAGTGTCACTTTCCTGTTTGAGAAAAATGGGCTTTGGATGTCTCCCTCTGCTGGTTAGGTAAATTAGCTAACGATGGTTTTCTGTCTGGTTAATTTGTAGGTTGAGTCAAAGTTTGACAAAATTTACAGCTACCAATAATTTGCCAACCGATCTACATATTGCAGTTAGATAATAAATATAAACGCACATCAATTGATGATTTTGGTCAAGCTATCTAAAACGGATATTTTAGCTAACCTAGCATCTAAGTTAGCCGATACTTCCTCATATTGACCAATGTTAACTAGCTAAGCTAACTTACCTAGCGCTAAATAACATGCTAATTTACTTATTTTTACCGGTATACTCACATTAAAGTATCCTGTACCTGTTGTATGTAATCTGGTGAGCTTGAACTGAATAAACGATGCTTCAGTTAATAATACACTGTCAGTTTGTTTGTTCTTGTTGCTATTTAAAATCTAGCTAACCCCAAAGAACATTAGTCAGCACATTTTCGACTATTCTGATTGGTTGATTTTCTTCTATTCCTGTTGCTAAGTAAGTAATGCGATACAATCATATGCATCCTGCTATTTTAAGCACCTTTATGGTTTCAAAATGTAATTTGCCTCACAGACCATTATTTGCGAACGACTTTCATTTCTTTGTTGACATTTATCTCGCTTAATTAACTGTCATGTTTGTGTCAATTTATGGTGGGGGATTTATGTAAAACTAAAAATATCACAGGAAATAGAAAACTTAAATAGCTACTTAGTGAATACCCGTGGTGAGATAGAAACGAAGTGTAATTATAATTTACGATGAGGAAAACATGTTTACCCTCTCTGATCATTCAGAACAGATATACAATACAGTACAGATTAGATTAACGTTATAACCTACAAAATCTCCTCAAAGGTTTCCGTAGTTTTAGGCGATACCATCAGCATACCATGCATATAGGGGTGTTCTTATGGCTTGGATTCGTGTGCACTCCGCGTTTTCTCAACATTATGCATGGATATACATAATACATTCTTTAAAATCGAACATTTCTCAAAGACAATTTACCATGTTAAAGAGCGGCACAGCGTGACGACCAATTTACACTTGTTCATAACACACCCCCATCTAATACAATGGTATAGTCCCAGAGGTAGGAAAGACCTGTAAGTGAGACAAATCAAGCCTGTGACAGCGGAGAAACTTGAGTTTTATAACAAATAAATACCGAACAGAGGTACGTACTATTCAAAAGTCCACGATTGACCTCAACAACCTGTTTTGTTTAACAACAGCACCATGTTTTGCCGAGCTGTCAGTACAAATGTGGGGACATTGCAAAGCAGATGACCATTTGCTAGCGATAGCTGAGCTATCGTTAGCTTCCTGCTAGCTGACGAACAGCCTCAAAACTGCTGGGACCTGAGCAGGAAGAAGTAGCATGCTAGCTAGAAGCTAGCTAGCCTTTTAGCTAGCCATCCTATTTTGGGATTGGCATTCCGCTAGCTAGTAACCTTAACTTGGCTGCCTTTATCATGACTGTAAGAAGGCTGTGTATTTAGTAACGTTGACACTTCGTTGTGAAAGACGGATACTGGCATATGTGAATTGGATAGCAGAAAACTGTGCATGAGGATGTTGCAGTGTTTTCACTGACGTGAAATCAACTGGTATGAATGACGAGAAACAACACAGGGCCTAGTTTCTCCTACTTGCAGGTGATCTGTGATTCTTCTGACACAGACATAGAAGTCTATATATTTTTTATATGTAACAGTCTCTTGGTAAGTTGCATAGCTAACGTTACATTAATTGATATCTGATGGTTGTCCCAATGTGTTCACTGTTGATGAACGTTAGCATTGCCTCCATGAACTTGAGTCCAATGTTTATCTCATCTGTTGCTACTGTAGTAATGTGAGCAGCTGTTTTATCAGAGACTTAATTCTGTTGATGTACATGTTCACTTTGCTCTTTATCCTTACATCTATTTAATGTAGTTACTCTTGATTAATGCTTTTTTTTGGTTTTGTTATTTACACAAACAAACACATTTTTGCTTAATATTGTTATTACTATTTACAAGAGCTTCATAAAAATACCATGAAGATGTTTTCCATAATTATGTTTATTGGTGTAATGTGTCACCTTGCTAAGGATGCATGTGTATTTCTTTTTTTTGATGCTACTGCTTACGCCTGGTTCACTAATAATATTAACATAATTATTTCGGAACTGAATTGAAGAGTTCCGAATTCTTTTTAATTCCTTTACTCACTTCTGTATTCCTGCTTTTCTGTTTTTGTATCAGACTGAAAGAGAAACGGTACAATGTCCTTAAAGCCGCGGGTGGTGGACTTTGACGAGACATGGAACAAGCTACTGACGACAATCAAGGCTGTTGTGATGCTCGACTATGTGGAGAGAGCCACGTGGAACGATCGGTTCTCGTATCCTATGCCAACTTGCTCCATATTGAAATTTAAACTGCAACACAAGATTTTTTTTTAGAACAGGGTTCATGGACAGAAAGTCATCCAGCTGCTTAGTGCAGTGAAGCAGGTGCCAGCTTGTATAGAGTTTTATGTATTTGACTTTAAACACCAAATATGGCTTATTACGAAAAGCAGATCAGTTTTTCAAAGAGTTGTTATTGATATGTTCAGTGGCAGGTGTGAAATTAGCCGGGCAGACGGCAAGCATTAAACTATTCATTTATTTGCAGAGAATCGCAGCATAAGCCGTATCTAGTATTCCATACTACATCTCTATTAACATCTAAACATCATGGAACCACATTTGTGCTCATTTCTATCCTAAATTCCCACACCAGCGACATTTATGCCTTGTGCGTTGCATACCCAGAGCCTTTGGGTGAGAGATTATACACAGAGACCAAGGTGTTTCTTGAGAATCATGTTCGGCAGTTGTACAAGGTAAGCACTCGCGAAAAGCATTTTTATTTCTGCATTATGTCTTCTTTCCACAACGCATGTAACGCTTGTCTGTGTGTGTGTGTGTGTGTGTGTGTGTATTTTCAGAAAGTCCTGGATTCGGAGGAGAAGGTTTTAGTGATGTACCACAGATACTGGGATGAGTACAGCAAAGGAGCTGACTACATGGACTGCTTGTACAGGTAACATTGCCTTAACGTTGCTTGAATTCACAATGGTGTTAGAATGGTTGCCTACTTCGTTATGTTGTTTATTTTGGCATATTTTTCAAGTACAAATGAAGGACGTGTCCGTAGTGGACCTGCTGTTGGCTGTTGTCATTGTGGTGTGTTGGACTACAACTTCTAGCAGAAGTCGTGAACCAAAGCTGGTGTCTGTCTTTGTCCTCCTTGGCTCTTCTAAGTTGGCTCCATGTGTCAAGTTCCTTAGATGCAGGACGGTCTCGTTCTATCACAAGCTCGCATAAAGTTTTTGTACACTTGTAAAATTACCTTGAAAGCGCAGTGCTGTTTCCTGATCCATTAAAACTCAATACTCCCTTGGAGAGCTTTCAGATCTATTTATAAGTTACCAGACTGTCATACATATGCCTTTTGTAATTTATTATGTCAGCGAGAGTGAGAGTGAGAGAGAGGGCGGCTCTTGGCTTTACTGGTGACATAGCTGTGTTGAGTTCTTAATATAGAAGAGGCTCGCCTATTATCTTCATCTGATGTCTGTGAATATACATGTTTATATTCGCATCTTGTCAAACACAAATCACCCTGTTGTGGAGGTTGGATTGAAGTGCCAACTGAATCAAGTGATACCCAACACGAGCAGTTATATTAGCAGTCCTTGGACACTTGATGCTCGTGTTTCATGCTCGTCAAAGATCGATGGCTTGAGGGACGTCAGGTTGAATGTGATTGCCGTACTGCTGATGGAGGCATAGGGTGCAACGAGATGTTATGTTACTCTCTTATCGGGGAGCAGAAGTTATAGACAGAATGTTTTGTTCCCTTTATGGTCATATATGTATATGCGCCCTGTAGCGCAGCCACCAAACCCGAGTCAAACCTCCAGCACACTAGTGCATCACAGACCTAGTGAAAAGGACAGAATGAGCCACCGAAGGGACTGTCACATCCAGACACTCGTGTGCAGCGATGACCAAACAGTCCCAGAAACCCCCTTTGAACAAAACCCATGATGCCTTGCCCCTGTTCAAATGCACCCTCACACCTTGAGGCAGTGGAAGACCCTTGCTGTTGTAGGCCAGCGGGATAGCCTCGACAATCCAGTGAGAAAGCCGCTATTTAGACGGGGCTTTGCATTTGTCCGGATTAGCAAAACAGACAAACAACTGGGCACGCAAGCGCACACTGCGAGTGTTGTCTATGTGAGCGTGAAGCAAACACTCACAGGACAAAGGGAAAAAAGTCTTATGAGTTCAAAAGCCACAGGGATAGTTCAAGGCTGATACGCCCCATTCGGGCACAATATAACCTTGGAGCCATTTGAAGCGAAGTGGGTACAAGAGGGATGAAGCGATAACAGAATCAATGGACCGCGAGGAGCCTCAAGCTCCAATGCCAAATCTCCTGAGGGAGCTCTGGGTTTAGCGGTGGACTCCCCTTTTAAAAAACGCAATAGGTTGGAAACGGCGCATATTTCCAACTCTAGAAAGAAAAACTGCTGACTCGTTGTTAGCGAGCTCTTTTGCATATTTACTGAAAAGCCCAGAGCTTGAATGTGCGGCCGCCACTGCTGCTGCTGCCTGCAAAATGCGGACACCGCTCTCCCGGAGGCGAGCTAACGCCGCCTCGACACTTATTGGTGGAGGCTCGGGGGGGGCGAGTGACAGGCCGGGACGGCAGCCCCAGTTACTCGAAGGCTATGCCTCGAAATCTCAGAAACTGCCTGTGGGCCGAGTGTATCGGCGCACGCAAGTGTCTGCGAGATCTGTGGTTGTAAACCAATCCCTCGGGCTGATCACGATCTGAGCGTTTTGAACTTGTAATGTTGAGTCGATAGGTAGTAGTTCAACACCCTCAGGTCCAGAATAGGACCTAGTCGTCCCGCCTTTCCTTGGGATAACAAAATCTCTGTAATTGTTCCCGAAAAAGCCCGAATGATGTGAAACTGCTTTCAATGGAGGGATTTGATATGATGTTTCATGATGAAGTGGATCCAGCCTTTACTTTATCAGAGGTGGTGAAGTAAATGTGTGTGTGGTCAATGAGCCACACAATGGGGAGATTTATTCCTGACAAGAAGTTATAGTATTATTACAAGTTTTTTTTGTTTTTTTTCTCACAATATTATGACTTCATACTCACATATGAGCTATTAAAGTCCATGAGTCTTTAAATGAATTCAAATGAATGAACGTGAATAGATGCCACATGCACATGTAATAAGGTTAATGACAAAAAAGAGGAGGGAAGAGTAATTCCTGTCCAGTTGATCAAGTTGATCTACAGGAGAATAAATATTTGAAAGCAACACAGAATGTCTGAGAGCCTTACTGTATTATATTCCATTATATTTTTACATTTGGAATTGTTACCTGGCTCATCATTTTGTGTTTTCCTTTACATGAATAAATACATTTCCACTATAAATTGAAGAAATTAAGTGTCTTTACGCTTATGTTCTGGGCCCCACCGATGTTAATACCAAACCTACGCTCTTGGGAGCTACACATCATTTTAAGGTGGACTAACTCAGCCTGCATAGACCAGCTGTGGTGAAAGCCATCACAATATGTGTGTCAGTCTGTGTGGTAGATATTCTGCAAAGTCACTCCTCGCTTCCTTTTGAGAAATGTTGAGACACAGCAGAGATGTGTTGAGACACAAGCTCAGTCTGATGCGTTTCAACATCAGAGTGCGTGTCGGATGAACAAGTGACATCGGTGTAAAAACGCATCGTCCTCACGCCGATGCTCCGTGTGTTGTTAGTGCAATATAGAAACACGGCCTTCTGTCAGAGCGGCATTAAACGTATTCTAGTAGCGTGTGTTCACCAACCAACAAGATCCCTCTGTGTGTCTGCTGTTGGCTGCTGGGCAGATAGTGCACCGTGTGGGTTATCAGAGCTCTTTCATTTGATCCACGGTTAACATATCTGACATACGATTCATGCAAGATTAAGACAGGATTTTTCCGTGAATATAATCTGATTTGATACAGATATGAATAACCTGCGTTTGACCGTCAATGAAACCAATGTTGGATCTAAACACACAGATGTGTTCCATCAGCGCAGTTCCACAGTTTTCCTGTGACTATTGGGTAACCATTGTGTGTCACTGGAAACCAGGAAGTTGTCTGTAAGGAATACTACATCCATAATGTGTAGCGGTGTAGAGAACAGAGCTCCCATAAGTAGCTGCCATTTGTAAACAAACGGCAGAAAATACTTCTTGATATACCATGGCTCATGCTCGTGTTTAATATATTATAAAATCAGGTATTTTCTCTTTGATATTCATAAATACAAATGCCTTTATGTTTGCCTCTGGCTCATTCACTGTCCAGCAATCCTGGAGAGTTAGTTTTATGCTTTCATTGGCTCACCTGACACTCAGCCGGCACAGAGCGAGTTACGGTGCCCAAAGAATGACAGTCTCACGCAGCCCTCCATGAACTCAACTTGTAACTAGAGGCCCACACACACACACACACACACACACACACACACACACACACACACAGATGCATTACACACACGAGTTATTAGACGACACCTCCTCAAACTCCTCTGGATGCAGTTGATACCCTAACATCTTGACCTCCTACCCCACTCTGCTCAGGTACCTCAACACTCAGTTCATCAAGAAGAACAAGCTAACAGAAGCAGACCTACAGTACGGCTACGGGGGAGTGGACATGAACGAGCCGCTCATGGAGATCGGAGAGGTATTGGATATGGACACTTATGCTCCCATTAGGGTTGTTTAATATGAGTTGGGCTGGAAACACAATAACTGATAACAACAAGCACATTCTAACTCGGATGTATCCAGATTTATTTATTCAGTATTTGTCAAGTTAACACAATAGTATACAAAACCATGTGGTTATTTCTAATAGACGATTTCTTCTATATTTTATATTAAGTGAAGTTAAGTGCTGCCTTTTCATTCGTCTTTGCAGCTGGCGCTCGATATGTGGAGGAAGCTCATGATCGAGCCCCTTCAGGCTGTCCTGATCCGGATGTTGCTGAATGAAATCAAAAAGTATGTTTTACACACAAGTTGAGCCACAACTGGTGACTAAGATGAATATGTCTGGCTCTCTGCAGTGGTAGCCATAAGAGGGACACTTTCACACTGTTCATGTCTGGATTCCTCGTGTCTTCCAGTGATCGTTGTGGGGAGAACCCTAACCAGAAGGTAATCCACGGGGTCATCAACTCCTTTGTTCATGTTGAACAGTACAAGAAGAAGTTTCCACTAAAGGTGAGACAACAAATAGGCCCCCAGAGGATTACAATTGTTTGCATTATGGTTTTATATCGGGTTATTTATGCAGCCAAAATTCAAAGACAATTTTTTATTTTTTTTTTGTTGGCTGCTTAATGTCTTTAATTACCATCTGTGTGTTGTACAGTAGCCGTTCATATAGGCCTGTGTATATCCGTTCATACTAAATCCTACGCGGGCCACGTCCTCTTCCTGTGTTGCAGTTTTATCAGGAAATCTTCGAAGGGCCATTTCTGACAAGAACGGGAGAGTATTACAAGCAGGAAGCCTCCAATCTCCTGCAAGAGTCCAACTGCTCACAGTATATGGAGAAGGTAGGAGAGATGGACGGATAAAGCCTGCACGTCAATGCTGTGTGTGTGTGTGTGTGTGTGTGTGTGTGTGTGTGTCCAAGCTGCCGTTTGAGCTGCTGTAACGCTGACCTTACCCTCATTATGAGTCATCTGTGCTCTGTATAGAAGAACTCCAGCAATATAGCTTTCTAGATTGTGTGTGTGTGTGTGTGTGTGTACACACGTGTGTGTGTGTGTACATCAGCATCCATCAGAGGAGTACATTCACCCAGGGCATGTGTGTGTGTGTATGTGTATGTGTATGAACTGGCAGATCATGTCAGTACAGTGACATAACAGTTTTAATCTGAGTATTAGCTCGCTAAGGCTGAGATCACAGACCCCTGGGCGACTTTAGCTTCCATGTCTCTCTGTCTCTCTCGCTCTCTCTCTCTGTCTGTCTCTTTCTCTGTCTGTCTCTCTCTCTCTCTCTCTCTGTCTGTCTCTTTCTCTGTCTGTCTCTCTCCGTCTGTCTCTCTCTCTATCTCTCTCTCTCTCTCTCTCTCTCTCTGTCTGTCTCTTTCTCTGTCTGTCTCTTTCATTCATTCTGGCAATAATCAGCTGTCTCTGATAGATTTATCCCCCCAGCGTGCTAACAGGATCATTATTAAAGTGTTATCCAGGCATTAGGGCAGTGTGTGATATGACTGTGAAAGAGCAGCAACAGACGCTGTAGTACAGTCACTAACCGTCTGGACAGGGTCAGTCTCAGTTGCTTATCTGACCCAGTTTTAACTGTGAGGAGGCAGCTTATTCTCGTGTTGCCTTAATGACTTTTACATTGCTGTGTGTGTGTGTGTGTGTGTGTGTGTGTGTGTGTGTGTGTGTGTGT